TACATTTACCAAAGTTCTACCTACACGTAGTTTGTTAGCTTCTTTGCAATTTTATGCAATAATAATCACACTGCATGATGAACAAAAAGTGTACTCACGAACTCTCTTGGATATAATAGCGCTAATTTCTTGTTTACTACATTCATATACCACGTTTTGTAAGAAAAATAAAAACAAACATTTTATAGTGACTATTTTATTTCTAAGGATCACACAAAGGATAGTAATTGTTGGTTCTTTTAAATCTAACATGAACATTACGTCTAAAAATATAGTTATACAATTCAAATTAACTAAGATCTCCTTTTAGAGTCAAAGAAGTGGTCAAGAAATGAACTATTTGTTACGCACGCAACAAAGAGATCAAAAAAATTTACAAATAGTTAATATCAACTATAAACAAATGATAATCTGTGACTTACTGGAAATGAAAATTTAGAGCTTTAAAAAATTACATATTAATAAAATAGAATTTAAGAGATATCCTATAAATTGAAAAATAATGATTAACTACTTGAAAAAAATTATTGCAGGAACAGGTTCCAACACCATTAAGCGAAATCATTAAGATGTAATGATCAATCGATGATGAATCAATCATATAATTGATGATAAATTTAGATAACCTAATAGCTTTACCTGCATATTGTTAAAACCTGCACATACTTATTGCGAAAGGTAGTATAACTTGTAAGGGGTCATTGTTGGAACCTTTTAAGCACAGGCTCACAGTGAGTACTATCATTGTGTTCACCAATAAATATATTATAGCCACGATAAATTTGCCAAAAATGAAACTAATTAATATGCCGGGAGATCTTTATTTCAAAATGTAGGTAATCACTAAAACATGGAAAAGAAACTTGCACCGTATTTCTTTTTCTACTTCTAATTTTTCGTTACATCACTGATCTTATCGTCTATCATTACAACACACATTCTATGACCTAAGCTTATATCCAACTTAATAATTTACTGAGAATGGGTTGACATAATACCCGTCACTGAGTTGCCAGAACTCTGTTACAATATATTGGAGAATCTTATCACACACAAAGAAAATTAATCAACAAAATTGAATACTAGAAATTTAATTATAATAACTACATGGTCGACAGAATTCTTTAATAGTTACCATTAATATGTATGGTTGTATTTTATTATTGGCAAATACTCAAATGCTACTCAATTTTAACATGCCCTTAAGTCTCCCGGTGTCAGTCACTTAAGAGGATAACTTGAAAATAATCGTAGTTTTGGGGGCGTGTTTTATTCCTTTGTCAACGAAGTCAAGGACGAATGAGGGAGTGTCAAAATGAAAGTGATGCAATGACTTTATAATACGCAAATCATGAGATAGCTATACCGTGTACGCGCTCGGAAAAAAAACTAAGTAGGCACCAAACATTTTTTTTTTAACAAAACTGCTATAGATTTAAAAATATGGTTTATGAGAACTTAGATATTGATTACTTACTATGCCTTAAAATAATTCTATGAAGTCGTTCGTAAAAATATTGTGGTGTCATGAAGAAACGTAACTAATAAGAGCCTACTTTGCAATTTTTTCTATTGAGGAAAACACGATGTCATGTAATTTTACATGACATCGTGTTTTCCTTTTATGCAATCCAAGGTCATATATTCAAAATTCATATACCAAAATTTTAGTTTGAAATCTAAAGCTTCAAAAAATATGTGAAATAGAAAAACCACTAAATATTCAAGGTATCACATTAAAGTGATAGATACAGCGGTGAGATTTAACGGCGTCTTAAAATTAAGCAATTTTTGAGTATTTGAGCATATTTCTATGACAATATCAAAGCCGAACTTTACAACATTTAAAATAAATGTAGCTGTTAAAACTATTTAAATCTGTTATTTCTTGTCGACGCAATTTGCTGATGACGACGAATATTGCTAATGATTTTTTTAAATGTCCAACAAAATACAGCCTTAAAGCGTTTTGTTTAAGAGTAATAAATGGTCTGGAAGGTGGGTAAGAAAGGGCCTCATATGACATAATATCAAAAAAATCCCTATTATCTGCCAGGGGAAAATGTACCTTTTAACTAAAAACTAAAGGTCAGTAAGTAAGGAGCGAACCCGACAGTAAGAGATAGAATGGGATAGGTTTATATTACCGTGTACTTCCTCACACATGCATTTTAGATCATATGCTCTTTTTGTTTCTAGCATAATCACGTAGAAAGGTATTGCTTTCACTTTTGTAATGGGTGATTAAAGTTCAAAGTCCCATAGCAGACAAACGGGGGTGTGTCCATTTCTCTTAGGTCTATTACTTAATTATTTGCACGAAAATGAATCTTATGAACATATCCAGCGTACAATTGAAACTACGAAGTGCGTTAAATACAATCTAGCTAGTCTTAAAAGGTACGTCACTATGAGTAACCCAGTCAGAAAATACATAATTTGGAGGAAAGAGACAACATATGGAGTGGTGATCTATCTCTTTTATTCAACTAAATGCGTTTATGTATACGTATTATAGACATGTGTCATTTATGCATTTCTAGTGACCCGATCATTCAAGTATTGATTCTTCTTACGAACCGGGGTCATTCGGGTCGGTCATTCAAATGGATCATTTTGAGTTTCAGTACTTTGTGATCTGTGACCCACTCGATTATGACGGTCGTCGGACATTACTATACTCTTTGGTCGTAGGTCCTGTCAATCTTTTGATCCGGAACAAAACTGATGCAATAAGCTGTTCTATGTCAGTGAACAAAATTTATCTTCCAAGGCCCCTTCAATTTGGCTTGAAGAATTTGCTCCTACAAAAGCTGAATGTTTAGTTTTTACACAATTTCCAGATAAATTTGATGGCTCTTTTTCTTATAAGGTCTTTAAGATCCTTAAGAACTGTTAATATTTCAATTATTAACAGTTCTTAAGGATCTTAAAGACTGCACCCGGGTCAAATGAACGAATCATTTACGATTGACACATGTCTAACATATTAGTTCCGTATAACGAACGTACATAAAACTTACAAAAAGAGAGAGATTTATTATAATTTCTGTCTCTTTCAACCAACCCTCATTGTAACTTCTAGCGATAGAAAGCAATATGATTAACTACCGACAGTTTTTTAACGAATGAACACACGTAACGTATAAAAGCGAATTATAAGAAGGCTTCATTATCACGAAATACGTTTTGTCTACAATAACCGAGCGATAGCGACTTGTAGATTAAAATATAACACAGAATGCAGCAAAATTTGGATAGTTATTTAAATTTTCGCATAATTTAATTTACAAAAAAAAATCGTCAATACCATTACTGTCTCATACAGTTCGATTCGACACATTTTAATTTCAATTAAAATCAGTATAGTCTTTAAATTATAACTTTTGAGTCGTATTGAAAAAAAATATTGCCTTTTTTCTTTAAAATTATGGCATCTCTTGATAGAATTCTGCCAGCGCCAAGTCATTCATTTAAGTGACAAATAAATATTAAGTATATTAAGAGTTCTCAATTTAACGAGAGTATTCACAGTTTACTATAGAAAACTCGTCGAAACGAGGAAGTTTTGTAAAGAAAATGACTTATAATTAAACATGTGAAATGTGATAAAAAATTTATATTACAAGAAAATAAATAATATGAATCGTAGTATTTAATTTATTATAACTCAAACTTCATGCTTCGCGTCCAAGCACAACGCTCGTATAGTCGTTTAAAAAAAACTACAGTAATCGAATAACCTTTTTTTTTAATTACAGATTATATGAGCAATGATTTTGTCACAAAATCTTTTGAAATATCAGTAAAATGTAATTCTATTTATTGACTACATTGACAAATAAATTCAAAAGAAATTACAATATGCCTTAAAATAACGTTCAAAATCAACAATGCTACGGTACAGTCCCGTGTTGTAAAGTTTAGTCGCTATCGCTCTTAGTCGTAATCGCGTTTAGTGATCGGAAGACGAATGTCGGTGAGAGGATTTGTGATGCTTGTGCCTGTGTCGCTGAGGATGCGCGCTGCCGTAGACGTCGCGGACGTTCGTGCTGCAAAAAAATAATAGAATAAGGGAACGACTAAAGATTGCAAGAATAAGACGAATAATTGCAATAATACGACGTAGAATTGCAATAATACGACGAAAAAATGCAATGCTTCTCAAAAATGCAGTATGTAAGATCGACCAGAAGTAGTCATTACGTTTTGATGATGGGTGTGTTAGTTGATGAAAGTTAAAATTGGAATCCCTATCTATCCACATATCCATGAAAAAATTATCAAGTACTTTTGCTAACGTCGATGGGTTAATTTCACAAATATTTTAATTTTACGGTACCAATAGAAGAAAGAAAAAACAACTTAATACGAAATAAAGACATTATATTATATAGGAAAACAAACTCTGTGAATCTACACATGCAACGGCAGCTAAAGCACTATATAATATGTACAATATGCAACCACTATAAAAAGGCAAACTTGAATATATACAGCGGAATAAAACACAAAATAAATAAGCAATAGAGTTACGATATTTCTAATGGTAGCGCCTCCTCCAATATCTGGAACTGTGAATATTTTACATTACAATTTGAACTATTAGATTTCGTTTTTAAAAATGTAGAACTGTGATTTATTTGAATGTATACTGTGGCGTATAGAGATAGGCCACAGCATCCACTTACCACCAGATGGACTGCGTGCTCGTTTGTCACCCATATTCTATCAAAAAATATAATATGCGTAAAAAAAACGACCACATCCTCACAAAATACTAGCGGGAAATAGCTGTTTTTTGCTGCTAATGTGTTTTGTATGATAAGTGTAAAAAAATATATTCTATCTTAATCCTGAGGTGTGACAACGCATTCTGCATATTATTTTAATTTCTGCATAATACAGTCCAGTAGTGAGATGGAAACGTGTGTTGTTACGTATGTTAGCGTGGTGTGGTGCGGGTAATTTCTGCATAACACTTCAGTAACAGTCGTGATATGGAGACGTATGTTCGTGAGCTACGTAAGCATGGTGTGACGCGTACCTGGCGCGCGCGGCGAGCGGGCTGGCGGCGGTGCGCAGGGCGCGCCGGGCAGCTACCCGCGGACCTCGTCGCTCTCCGCCCGCGCTGTAACGTACCTAATTCTAGCTCTACGTCTAACTACGAAGCGGTTGGACTGCACGACACACCTACAACTCGATACACTTTAAACGAACCTTCAATGGAATTTGCGACAATTTTAGCGATTACAATGCTACTTAAACGCAGTCAAAAGATTTTTCTAACTCTAGTCTGAGGGCTAATAATATTCCGTTCACTAGATGTCGCCAGTTAGTACTAAGGTGAACTATTTGTTATGCAGATGGTCAATATGTCATCATCCATTAAAAGTTGCGAATTAAAGATTTTCAGTTTTTAGTCTACATATTATACTGGATGACCTTTTTTACCGTCTGGAAAAAAGTAGTATAAAATATTTTACCAAAAATAAAAACGCATGTTTTGAATTAAATAACATCTATCGAAATTCAAATAATATCCACCCTACTTTACGAACGGCAATATATCAATAAATTTAGTAGATATTTTTGGCCTTAAGGCCCCAGCCTGGTAAAAATTAGTGTTCTCGCAAACAAATATTTTTTTTATAGTATTTAAAAAAAGAAATAGTGAAACATATTTTACATGTATTTAAAGTGTAGGATTTGATATTTTCGAAACTGTTTTTTAATTTTATTTTGGTGTTTAAATTAATGGTTACATGGTGTTATTAAAGCCTCTGCTATGTACAAACTATAACAATATCAAGAAAAGTATTCAGATCACATTTATTTACATATTGTCTACAATAATCTGATCTGGTCACTTTTTTTTATAAATGCTTTAATTTTCTTATTTGAAGGGCTTAAAAAGTTGCAATTTCATGATTTTTTTACTGCAAATATCTATTTTTTTTTTCTATTAGAAGTATAAATGTAGCAAAGTCGTATTTAAAACCACATAAAATAGAACTATTTTCAAGTGAGTTAGAAATAAATAAAATTAAAAAAGTATATATTTTCGTACTTTTTACCTATATGCCATTTATAAATCAATAACGCCTGAAAGTTCTCTCAGTTCCGCTTCCGCTGGTATTTCTCGGCGTTCAGACGTGTGCAGTGTTGCTCAACGTTACTTTACCTCTCGCTCGCACGGTTGATCTCTTTCCCTCGCGCAGCTCTTATGGACTGAGCGGAGCATATCATGAAAGTTGCTCCACTTAAATACATATTATTTTTATTTAATTGTCTTATTAGTTCTAGTTTTTAGTGTTTATATTAGTATTAGATTAATTGACTTGGACTTTTATATTTGGTATGTTTTATATATTTTAAGTTTTATATATAATTTATTACCAAAAAAAAATAAGTAAATGGAAAAAGATGGATAGAAAAAAGAAGAAATATCCTTGTGTCAGTAAAAATAGTAGTAAAAGTAGTAGTAAAGTACAAAATGCACAAGGTAGAGGCGAAATTTGTATGAAGAGGCAGTTTTTATTTTCCTTCGGTTGTATATACCCTTTTTAAACCTACAGCCCGTATAAACATTACCAAAAACGACATTTATGAAATATAAAAAGGTAAAAAATTATCTCGACAAAAGTAAAATGAATATTTTTGGAAAAAAATTAATAAGTTATATATTTAATGGTGTAGAGCAAGTTCACCTGCGATTTCGAACGTATTTATGCACGGGGGAGAGCGCCCCCTCTAATGGCTGGGAATGTAAAACAGCACAGCTAGACGGAAGCCTTAACACTTCTTTGGGTCGCAGGCTCAAGGACAAAGTAATTGTTCAAAAAAATTTTCAAACGTTTACTTCAAAAATTTTGTTTTTAGTTTTTGTAAAATCAGTTCCATAGGCTCCGTTCACGTGTTACATCCTATTTTTTTCCAGACGGTATAAAAGGTCACCAGTATATATTATAGACCAAGTAACATAGTGTCTAGACAGTTTGAAAAATGCCCAATATAAGTACGCAATATGATAAAAACTTTAGAAATAATTAAATTGTACGGGCTTTATGAATAAAGTTCTTTACTTATTGCTCAGATTACTAAAAGGATAAGTCAGGTTATGGTTACTAGACAATGTGATAAATAATGATGTTTAGAGCCGTGGTAGCTCAGTGGTTAACGCTCGCTGTAAATATAACAGAACGCGAGTAACCCGGGTTCGATCCCCGCCGGCACCAATGAAATTGTTAATTGCAATTTTAAGTGCTGATTTACCACGTACTCGGCGGTGAAGGAAAACATCGTGAGGAAACCTGCATGTCTGAGGAATAAGAAAAAAAATATTTCGAAGACATGTGAAGTTCGTCAACACGCATTTGGGCAGCGCGGCGGACACTTCCTTGCCCTAAACCCTCTCAGAAATGAGGGGAGACTTCAGCCCAGCAGTGGGACGTATATAGGCTGTAACTTTACTTTTTTACTTTAAAGCAGCATTAGTAATAATTTGACTTGCCCACTATTCATATGTGCAATATAAATTGAACCTAATTTATCACTTGGTCCATAACATATTTAGGAACATTTAATTCAAATTCAAAATTAAGTTTTTAAATTGGGAGACTAGACTCGAAAATTTTGGAAATAAAATTGAATCACTTTAAATCGGAATAAATTATTATAAAAATCGGAAATCTCGTCATAACTAAAGAGTAAGTACTTATTTCGTCACCTTCATAAGGCAGCGATTAAAATCAGGAAAGTTTTTGAATAAAATCTTTTTCAAGGACTGGCCATGTTAAAAATATTTTGTAAAGACACTCCTTGGATGATTCACGGTATATCGTGACGCCACCAGGCCGGGCTCCACCCGGGGCACGTCGACCGTGCGCCGGCCGGGACAGTCATACATGCTACACCGGGCTGTATGCGTGTATTCTTTGCACGGCCGTGTCTGTGATAGGTGTTTTGTGTCAACTAGTGATTTCATCAGTCGATAGACGTGACGCTTGAGTAAATATGAAATTTTCAAAACTTGAATTGATATTGTTTTCCAAATAACATTTTTGTATTTACTATCCGAATACTTAGGAATTAGGATGGATCATGTCGTAAGCTACAGGATATTTGCGCAAACATTCTAGCAATGTTTCGTCGTGCATGTTGATATTGGGCTGCTAACATCTCAAAGATTTGTCCTCGACTGCCCTGCGGGCGCCCGGCGTACACGTTCATGTTATAACGTGTCGGGGCTGGGCCAAGCCGGAGCCGGGAAAGAATACCCACCGACATTTAGACGGCGTGCTCCAGCCGGGGCACGGTCAATCATGAATCACTTCATACAAAAAGTATGTTAGTATGATGTTTGCGCGGTCGCGACACGGTGTAACGTGAATCATCCTTTAGTATGAAAATATTGCTACTAATATATCTCTTAAAGTAAGTAATCTTGTTATTAAATTAAATGCACATAATTTATTTAGTATAACGACTAACTTTTGCAATATAACGAAACATTTTATTAAAACGATGTACTCAACAATTAAACAAGATTTTTTAAATATTTGTACTAAAAAAAATTAATACACAACGTTTTTTCATATTCCTACATTGTCACGTCATCCGATTCAGTGCTATGTTCAAAATTTCAAGTCTCTAGTTCATAAATTTAAAAAAAATCCAACGGGAATCGATCGTTTTTTTTTAATTTCGAACACTTCCATCAAGTCTTTAAGACCCAAGATTCCGTCGAAACAAATGACAGACAAACAAGAAAGTGACTTAATAAGAATGTTGTAAAAAGTAATATTTATTCTATTTAGATGTTTATGAAGGATCCAACGTCCAACCACCTCTTAACAAATAAAAATAAAAGCAAAAAAAAAGTAAAATCAAGCAAAGATACTACCACTGCGTACTATAAGAAGCTATATATATATATATATATATATATATATATATATATATATATATATATATATATATATATATATATATACATATATTAAACTCCAAACATGCAATTACAATAATAGTCAATAGTCTAGAAGGAATTATATAAAAGGGTACAGATAATAACTAGTATTTAATGTCTTAAAAGTATGTGTAAGTACATGTGAAATGTGTGTGTGTGTGTGTATGTGTGTGTGTGTGTGTGTGTGTGTGTGTGTGTGTGTATGTGTGTATCATGATCTTTTGATTTCTTATGAAAAAAAAGATAGCGTTCTATTCATAAATTAGGCAAGAATTTAAGTTAAAGTTGCTCTCTGTATGTTCACTAATTGACAATAGAGACAGGTATGGAGATAATTAATACTTAATTGTAAGTGATAATCAAAACTTAAGAAAGGCTAAGTTCTTGTCATTTCAGGAATGGAGGAGGCTCATCGATATATATGTACTACGCACTAGATATGGCATCCCGAACACTCACTATGTTCAACTGAACTGTACTGCAATCCGTACACCTGTTATTGTGGATTCGATATTCATGCAGTGCAGAGCGGCACTAATAATATTTTTATATTAAATTAGCACATATGCAAAATAAACGAAAATTTTAAAAATTGTACTCGATTAACAATACAATCTAAATAAACAATTATTATGACAATTTTTGCGCATTTATATTAACTGCACATGCGCAACTCTATTGTTTCCCGCGCATGTGCGGAGTAGTAGTGCACATTTTAGAATACAGAGTAGTGCACATTTTTTGTTTGGAATAGCTTCTCTAGTACGAAGTACATATAACTCAATGAGGAAACCTGCGTCCAACAGTGGAACGTTTATATATTATAGCTTCATCGCGATAGAATTCCGACGATAAAACTTCTGGCCACACTGCGCGTTATAAAGTTCGATTTTATCGTGATAAACACACGCTAAACACGAAATGGAAGCCGCGGTTGCTCTGTATTATGGCATGGAATAATTACTATATATTACGTTTTTGGCAACAGGGGACAGCTTTAGACTCCTGCATTGTTTATTCAAAATGTATCATCAAATTATTCATCTTCTCATTACTTCAAAAAATTGTCATTTTCGAAATTACGTTCGCACGAAGCACAGAATAAATAATAGTACTACGTACAGAAGTTGCACTCCTTTGATGTCGACTGCTTACCGACCTTTAATAGCCTACATAATTATTATTAATCAGATAAATCGTACACGCAAGCTAAATGAAACTTTATCGCTGCGCCCTAGTGTCCATATTACTTTGCATCTTTTTTGTCACGGCGGACTTTCCGTGGTTATCAAGGGATGTCAATAGAAAGTAAAAAAATACATTGCGAAA